AAATCCGAGCAACTGAGTACACTATAAGGATTAATTCTAATTAAATCAATCGATTAGTTCTCACTGGAAAAGTACCATAAATTTTGGTTTTACTTTAGACCTCCACAATAAATAACACGTGATTGTACTAAGAATGTGCTCAGTTCCACAAGCCCCTTCCAGCTCAGCAATTGCTTCCACCAGCCGTTAAGGGGTTGAGCTTTTCCCCTAGCCGTTTCTCTTCGAAAGTTGATTTTTTGTTTCCCCTATTGTGCACCCCCCACTCACTTCTTATCAAGTTATTTGCTACACTCACCTTTAATCAAAAAGCAGTTATTGGAAGGGTCACACGTTTCATTACGAAGAGCATGCCATGGATCGAGCGAGCCATGTGTCATCACCATATTTGTCCCCTATAAGGTTTTTCTTTTTTATACATTATTTTGGAAACGATCGAATATCACCTTGAAATTGTGTCGGCCACCATATTGGTGGTTGGTTTTTTGCACAGCCTGTTGATTGAATTCTGCAGAGTATGGTATCCCTTTGCCGAATAAATCTGAGCACATTTGCGTGAAGAAACTGAAAAAGCTCTACTCTACTTTGATGAAACAAGAAGAGAGCTCTGTCTGTCTAGGCAAAAATGCTCTTCATTAGGAACAATTCCGGACATGGAAAAAGGTGTAGTGCTTCCATAGTTTGTATGCTACCTACAGGGTCAACCGTCTGTCGAGAAATTTCCAGTAAAGGAGCCCTACTTGTGATTTTTGGATATCTGTTTGGTAGTCGTATTAGAGAAGGGTCATGGCAGAGGTGCTTCGAAATCTAGGGAAATTTTTACAATGTCCACAATAAAGTAACGGAATGGGAAGATTGTGTGAAATTTGCTGGTTTCGTTTCCCTTGCTCCACGCTGACAGGCAGTTTCGGGAGAACCTTGGGGCGGTGTTGAGCTGGAGGCTTTTATTCAACGACATTACTGGTGGGAAGGAGGGTCGTGTGGTGGCTTCTTTCCTTTGCTACATGTGAAACTTTTACCGGGAAACTTGGGTAATTGAACATTCAACAGTAATTGAATGAGTAACGGAACAATAATCTAGAAAACAAAAGGAACATCAAGGTTAAGGAGGTCCTGGTAAGGAACCCTGGAGCTTAGACCGCAGTAGAGTATCTGTATGGCAAAAAGAACCTGCTGTGAAAGGACAATAGTGACACCTATTACGTTAGGAGGTTAACAAATTATCGCAACTGAGAAAAAGCTCGTAAAAATCGTGAGAGTAGCGGACTTTTCACCCCTTACCCCGTCGATCCCTTTATACTACGGTTGTATCATGATTCGGTGATCGTTTTCTTTGACTGACTGCTCAGCAACTAGGTTGTTCAAAGTCTCGCGATAATGAGCACACCAGAATTACACGTCATAGAGGAAGGTGTTCATATCGCTTTATCCTACAGATGAGAGGTGTCGAAGTGTCGCGATTTCGAGACAATTTCCTGATTTCCGTGATATACCCTAATGAAACAGCCTGCATCGTGGAGTATATAGGGTACCAGATTAGTCCTTGCCCGATACAAACCGCCAAGAGGAACCTTCCTTTCCTGCGCAAGCTTTCTATCCTCCGCTATGGTCCCTTCCTCCTGTGACACCAACACCTCGTGGAAGTGACGCGTATGCAACACAATGGTGTTTCATACAGTAGAAGGGACACAATCATGATATGACGGTAGATTTTTCGCTTCCCTTCCTCATCCTCCCTTCCTCTCTCCACTGCCCTCCAGCTGCCACTGCAGCACCATGTGGAATGAACGGAAGTGTGCTAAGCAGGTGTTTATATAGCCCTAAGAGTGTTATCACAACTATCCTGCTACAAAACATTGATATCTCAAATCCTGTAAGCTACCCGATTTGTTAGCGGTTTGTTTATCCCATGAGCTTCCTTCTCACTCACTTCATTTTGCGGACGGACACACATACATACACACACATACAGATACACAAACCGACACACAAAGTTAGCGCTTTATAAAATAGAAGGATTTGGGGACATTTGTTCGAAGCTAAACAACTGCACATTCATTGTCGGCACCAGTTGTTCTGACGCTAATATTTCGGATGTAACAAGTATTGAACGGGGGCAGACGAAAGCTGTTAGCTTTAGACTAGTGATGATCACAATAACATCCTAATTTCGGTGATATAAGACTGATGCCGATTTCACGTAAACCCCGCTGAGTGCAATTGTAAACTTGTACAACCTTAGAACACCGCAAATTTGCCTATATGCGGTAAGACTACAGTGCCCTGATCACGAAAATGACTTTCATTTTCAGCGCTGGCGCCATCTGGCGCCACTTGGCGCTACCTTGTCACGACACCTGTTCTTACCAAATTTCGTGTAAACTTCCGTATAGCGCTTATTTGGTGTCCTGATTACGAATATGACATTCATTATAGGCGCTGGCGCTGTTTTGACGCCTATTTTCTGCTCGTCTGCGCTCTCCAACCGAGACATGTGCACTAAACAACGTTAACGCCAAAAACGAATGTCATATTCGTAATCAGGGTCCCAAATAACCCCTATACTGAAGTTTACACCGATTTTGGCGAAAACAAGGGTCGTGACAAGGTGGCGCCAACTGGCGCCAGATGCCGCCACCGCTAAAAACGAATGTCGTTTTCGTGATCAGCATATCGAATTACCCCTATGGGCATGTTACGGTTGACTCTAGATGTACTCAAGTACACTGCACCAGTGGAGGTGTTTTTACATGATACTAGCGCGGGCTTATACACCGGAAATAGGG